ATTTTGATTGTGGTAATTTTGTACCATTAAATTCAAGTACAGGCATTTCACCTAATGGCATTTCAGCTTTATGTAATAACCATTCATCATCTTCATAACGAATATCTTCATATTTTTGACCAGCTGCAGCAAATATTAAACGACATATTTCACCACGATCACGATTATTAAAATAATAAAGTTTGTATGTCGACATAAATGCTGTTAGAACAGAGATTAAATGATCGAAGAAAATGGTAAGTGATATAACGAGAAAACGTAGCATGTGTATTTATATTTATTTGCTTTTCTTTGCTTCGTCGTCATGAAGAAGGAAAAAAGAAAAGAATAGATATATGTTTTGTCAAAGGATTAACGAAGTTTCAATTTCAAATAAAAGTTGAAATGAATTAAAATGGTTTTCTTTTGTAACTTAAGAAAAAATAAATTACGATAAACGAACATTTTGGGAGAGAAATACCCATTTGATTATCTAGAAATATGAACATGCAAGAGCTGTTTTGCAAAGATAAAATAAGATTCCAACACACATATTTTGTTTTTTGAACATTGATGAAAAACAAAATTCTTGTATGAAACAGCACCTATACCACAAAATAGTAAAATTTTGCATGTTGACGAAGAATCACTTCTCTATTAGTTTTTGTAAATAGACTTTTATTGCATCGACATGCACGATTTGGAGATGATTTGATTATTTTGCGGGTAACCACAGCTGATACTTTGACATTTTCACGTGAATCATATATCTTGCATAAATGTGAAAGATCAGCGCATGCATGGTCTCGTATATTCTACTAAAAAACTTCAAAATTTGTATTTGCATAGATGTTTGCGACATGCATCTCTATGCATGTTTTAAAAAATTTATTGCAAATACACGTGTTTTTTAAACTATTGCTTTTGACTGGGTAGTAACAAATTAGTGAATCATACTAAATTCAGATGCTGGACTATGTTGAAAATATCATACACATATCTCCATTGATCTCATGATCGTATTTCAGATGCAAAAAGGACATCGTCGGATAAGGTTCGAAATCTGCCACCCTCTCAAATCCAATTGAAAGTGTACCAGTAAGATAGAGGGTGTGGGTGTGGGGTGGGTGTGGGTGTGGGTGTGGGTGTGGGTGGGTGTGGGTGTGGGTGTGTGGGTGTGTGGGGTGTGGGTTTGGTGGGTGTGGGTGTGGATGTGGGTGGGTGTGTGGGGTTTGTGGATGTGGGTGTGGGTGTGTTGGTGTGGGTGTCGATGTGGGTATGGGTGGGAAACAATAAAGATAACAACACCCACACCCCACACCCATACACCTAGACCCACACCCACACCCACACCCACACCCACAAACCCCACACACCCACCCACACCCACACCCACACCCACCAAACCCACACCCCACACACCCACACACCCACACCCACACCCATATGTATATATATATGTACGCCGTATATGTCAATTCATTACGCATATACATCATATCTGTCCATTCATTATGAATGTACCTCGTATCTGTCCGTTCACTATGCATATATATTAGATTGGCACAACTTCTGCACGATTTTTTTGTGCATTAGGCAATTTTAGGCTTTATATCTCGTGATTGGAAAACGATAGAAGTCTGAAATTTTTACTCTAGATAGGAGTCATAGAGATCTATCTACAGTAAAAATTTCAGATCTCTATCGCTTTCCAATCACGAGATATAAACCTTAAAATTGTCTAAGGCACAAAAAAGCGTGCAAAACTTATGTACCAACCTAATATATGTCAGTCATATTTTTTTTATTTTGTTTTCTTTTTCTACGCGCGCAGCAGCAACACATTATTGAACTGTGTTTTATATTATTAAAATTATGCAGTCGGAGATGCCGAAAGGTAGCGTAGATCACAGGTGGAGAATAAAGGCAGTCAACAAATCTTTTTGTACGAGAGCAAGTACTCATTTTTTCATTAGTCAACAACCCAAGAAAATCTTGCGCTTTCTCACTGAATTTTATGCAAACCGGTTGCTGTTCGAAAAGCTCTATACATTAGTAGATAACTGTCAAGAATTTTTCGCGGAGCGAAAACTTTTGTAGAGCTCAGATAGAATTTTTACCTTCTTTTGTCAGCTTTTCCAGGCAGACAAAGACTCAAAAAAGTACACCGTTTATGCGTAATTGAAATAAACTACTCAGCTTTTTTTGTTCAGGGCGGCTTTGACCAAATTTTCGAAAAAAAACTCATCAGTGTTCTAAGATTTTCTCACTAATTCTGATATATTACAAGAAACTATCTTGAAAAAACGTGTGAAAATATCAGTGAAAACTACTACTTTGTCGCAAAATTTTGTTAAAACTGATTTTGACAAAAAAAGCTGAGTAGTTTGTTCTATTTATTGATAAAATTCGTGCTTCTTCGAGACCACTACCTGCCTAAATTTCGGAAATAAGTATCATAACATGAAACCTATAGAGTTTCTCAACACTTCTGCCGCCAAGGGTGGCCACGCTGACAGCAGTTTTCCAAAAAGAGAGCTGTTCAGAAAGAAAAAATGTCTTGATAATCAACTCATAAAAGTTACCCAATTAGACATATTGAAACTCATTATTCGTTGGTCCCGATCTCACAGAAAAAATAATATCTTTTGTAAAAAACAATGCCGAAATTTTGGAAAATTCAAAACCATCAAAATTACCTATTTGGCAATGTTAATGGAGCCAATTCTCAAGCATCCATAAGAAAAATTAAGTTCTCTTCAGGCGGGTGTTCTGTTTTTACCGAAAAATGTACGCTTTCGTGGGACTAGAAGCATTGAGGCTCGTCCAGTTCGACAAAAGTTTAAAAAAACTCACCCCACAGAGTTCTCCGTTCAAAAGTTTTGCCACCGAAGGCGGCCGCGCTCGTGGCGGTTATTGGAAAATGAGGCTCCTTTTTCCTCTGTGGCGCAGTCACATTTTCTTCAACGCTACCACCATAACATCTCATGGTGAAAACATAGAAAAGTCTACTGCGTTCTGATCAAAAATTTACAGAGGGGGCAAAACCATTTACAGGGAGGGGGCATTGCACCCCCGTGCCGCCCCCCCCCCCTGGTGGTTACGCCACTATACATAGCTATCCAGTAAGATATATTTACCGACATGTTAAGAAATTTTTCAACACATATAATATTACATCGACGTCTATTTTACCAATGATTCACAATAAACACGGATACCTTTTACTACGTCATCAATTATTAGCTCTACCCACGCCAAGTGAACATGCACGTGCATCAAGAATAGCAAGTCAAATAGACCATTATAATCCATAATCAACGTCTGATCCATTAGTCCAATCAAAATTGGTAAAACGATAACAAGGATCGAATTCACTAAAGCAATTAATTGTTCACTATACAAATGAACAACGTTTCGCTAACTATAAATCAATGATTCGTCAAAAATGGAACGATTTATTTCAGCAAACACCAGTGATTAAACCAAAACTTATCGTCGGTACTCAAAACAATCTTAATCTAACTAAGGAACTGGTCCGGCGAAGTCCTTATACAACAAAACAAATGAAAAAAGAAAACAACAAACACAATACAACTCAAAACCACTAGAAACATTAATTCGAAACTTTCAAAAACACTGACTCATTTGCAAACTTCTTCTTCACTTCATTGTAAACTAACCCTACAAAAAGTGCCTTCTATTGCAAAGCTAATAAAAAAACCTTTAAAAACTAGCAAACTTATGAAAAACCACTCCAAATATTCTACATAAGATACCAACAAATGCACCAATAATTACTAAAAAAAACACAACGAATAAAACTACAGAATTAAAGACAACAAACAAATAACGAGAAAAAAAGCTACAAAAGTAACACCAGATTAACATTACTCTTCAGTTTACCACACAACACTCAATACTGCCAATACCTTTCCATACATCAAACAAACGTTCCATATTTAAATAAACAGCACTCTAAATCACTCGAACCCTGACTCAACATTTACGAAACCATACCTATCCCTTCAGATTAGCCTTCTTTCCCAAATATTCATTTAAACTTTGCACAGATTAATAAAGTTTATTTACATCGTATTGAACTAATATTACAGAGTTAAAACTACCTAACGAGTCCATTAAGCAAGGACGAAATCCTGATCATGGTTTCCTTAACTCACCCTCAGCCTCAAGAATTATTTTTCTAATAAAACTCACCATTTATTAGAATATCTACGATTCGAATTTGAACCTTTGAATTTTGAATCATATGATAAGAATTTTCTTTCGAATTTTATTCTCGTTGTGATTCTTATTCAATTTCTAGGTTTAAAATTCATCTTATGTAGATTTTAATTCCAAATTTGCCTGATGAGTCCGTTAAGCAAGGACGAAACGCGTCGTAAGGAGTTTAGAATTATTTTCCTAATAAAACTCACCCTCAAGAGCCATTGAATGATGAAAAAGTTTTCATTTCTCTAAAAAAATTGTTGCCACACGTGAAAGTCCTAATGCCGCGTGGGCATCGGTGGGGAGGGGATTCACATCCTCACCAACACTTATGTGCAAGTCCACACCCACACGTCACATCAATATGCACCCTCATACAAACGCACACACTCCACCAACATGCGCCCACACTAACACAGCACGATCACATACTCCTCTGTTACAAGATGAATTATAATTAATTGTTTTGTTGATCTCCTTGTTTCTATCTACCATATAATTTTTGCTTCATCTTTTTCATTTACTTTTTCTCGCTTCCTCTGAAACATAATCTGTGTTTGATATAGCTATCACAAAGCTTATGTTGTCATCATTTAGCAATTCTTGATGGACAACTAAATATACTATTATCTAAAAGTATGAATGGCTATTGAAAATAATCCTGTTGTAGAAAACATGACGAAAAAAAGTGATGAATTATTTTTGCAAAATATTGTGTATTATTTTGACGAGAAATAACGAAGTCAGAGAGAGAGAAGAATATCAATATGCTTTTATTAATCAATATCAATTTATCGTTTAAACAATTTCTTTTCAAGAACAACAAATGGAGTTTCAAAGAAGATTACCCCGACAATAGCTGCAACATAGATAAAGAATAGATTTGAAATATAACTATTAATGATTAAATGTGGTTGAAAGTAATAAGGTATTGTCTGATTATATATAGTTATAAAAAGAATAATCGTGTGGACAAGATACGCTGAATAGTTCAGACGAGCTAGAGGACTCCAAATCGGCCATGAAAGAATGGTATTAACTATTCCACCTTGATTCGTACTACATAGAAAGAGAAGCCAACCGATTACTAATGCCCAAAATGAACGAGAAAGCGCTTGATAGGCAATGATTGCCGATCGACTAAGACCCGATACGAAAGCATAATCTGGATACATTACAAAGATACAGGTCAAGCCAAATACGGTAGCCAGGAGGCTTCCAAATATTTTTGTATAGATATTCAAACGATACGAACGACCAGTATTGATGACAATAAAACCAGTGAGAAGACCAATAGCATAAGGTGATATGCGACACCACGGTGTTAGGTAGATCTTCTCATAGAAGGTAGGGCCGGTCTATAAATGAAAGAATTACTAAAAACTCTTAATGCAAGAAATTAAAACGTACTGTTTGCATGGCGGCTGTTATACGGTTCACTTCCATATTAGGATAATAAAGAAGAATGCCGAGAATTGATCCAATGCCAACGAGAACGAATAGAGTGGCCACAATAAATGCAATAGGCTTTCGACCAATGACAAATGGTATGAGAGCAAGTGGTGCAATCCAATGAAATTGCATATCATTGTAAAGATACCACGAAGCATCCAAACACATGTCATGGATGTTAACTAGATTACCAATGTAAAGGATGGATGTCCACCAACCACGATGAATACAACCAGTGGTTTCAAATCCTTGTACGGATGGATAGAGAGGTCCACGACCGAAGTATGGCGACAAATTAATGCTCACAAGCATGACAAGCAAAAAAGTCGGTGTAAGACGAATATATCGATGAATGTAATAAAGAATAAATAGACGAAATGAAAGTTTTTTTTTGGCGACTTCTCGAACGAAGAGAATCGCTGTCAAAAAACCGCTGAGAACAAAAAATGTGTCCACACTGAACATAGCACTGATAATTAATTGAAATGTCATACTGTGAGACCAGGCAAATCCATCGATAATATTACTTGTATAGATTAAGATAAAAGTAATTGTATGACCAAATATAACCCAGAAGAGTGAAAGTACACGAAGACCATTGAGACAATCAAAGGAATTACTATCGTTTTTCTTTCTCATTGTAAATATACGACGTAATGTATGTATGGCTGAAAATTCTGCGATGAAAGCTATATAGGTGCTTTCGAGTAGAGTTTGAATAGAATAACGTGAATGTCGTGGTAATATTATCGATTTATTCTCAGCCAATTTGATGGGTGATATCTTACTGGATCTCTGTGTGGGTGAACCAATATGATTGACTGATTGAAGACGAGAAGCAAGAATAAGATCGATGATGGTACCGATTAGTACGAGAAAACCGAGTAGAGAGAGAACAACACATGTGGCTATCGCACCACCTGATAAACTCTTTTGTTTACTGGCCGCATCATTCGAACAAAGTAGATTATTTTCAGTCATATTGCTTTGGTTAAAAAGACTTTGAACTAATGAAACAGTTGATTGACGATCGCATGACGAAGGTACACAAATGCCAAGAATAAGTCCGTAAGCCATCGTTTGTTGTGGTTTCATGCCGCGTGGAAGGAGTGCACCTGATAAAACATTCTCTCACGTTTTTACACATTCATAAAACGAATGACATACACTTACAGTAGTGACCATCGAACGTTTGTTTTAAGAATGTTTTGTTATCATGTTGATATAATGGATCGAGACATTCATCATAATTACCCACCCACAAATTATTTCCTTTGAGTAAACCAGATGGCAAAGGCTTACCCCATGAATCCAAGATTTTGAGTGCCCAAAGCTCACGACGTAAAGCTGATTCGACTAAGAGTACAAAGTCCTGCTCGCATTTAGTTGTCGTATTACTTTTAGAAGATAGCGAGATAAATGAGAGCATTTCAGCAGGCGCGATACTATATGACTCATAGTCAACATTGAGAAGTGTCAATTGTTGCCGCTGAAGCAGGTGATTTATAGCCACATTGAAACGAAGTGGTACCGTTAGATACTCGCTCTGAGAAGCGATCCTTAGTAGTGAAACGAGGAAGAATAGAACGACAACAAGCATCATAAAGGTCTTTTTGTTTATCAAATGTGTGGCGCGTGTCTGATATCACCTGTGATGATACGAAGAAGAGTAAGTTTATGTCTTTCGAGTTTTGATGATAAAAGTTGACGCCATTTGAGTGATCCTACCTTTTCGAGAAGTCATATGATAGTTCGCCTCAGGGTTGCCAACTGTTAATTTTGAAATGGGGTTTACCAGAACTGGAATGGGGTACAGGATGTGGGTGTGGGTAAGGGTTTTATGAGCACCCGCACATCCCACACCCACACCCACACCCGCCACTAATTTGCGCATCATGATATTGGACAGTTTGACTTATTGTTAATTTTATTTGAATATCGGGGCAAATTAGAACCACTTCCTCTAATCTGTTGATAGAATTTGTTTTTGTTTAGAAAATATTGTTTGTGAAGAGTAAATCGAACAAGTTTAATAATTGTTTCAATAGTAATGTCATTGGATCGAAGAAAATCTTTCTTAGCATAATGTTCAACAACAAAGATTACATCCACTCCTGAATTGGATGTATTCGAATACGTGACCTGCTCATAAATTGTTTGAAGAAGTTGACTAACAAAGCGAGAAATATAAATAGTTCGATGAGGATAATCCAATTTCATTTTTGATTCTTCGACTATCATCTGTAGCAATTGTGCACGTAAGATACCTTACCAACGAATTGAGCTATTTCCTTACCGCATTCGTTCCTATAAAGCTGGTCGAGTTCTACTTGGAACCAGTGCGAATGATATTGTAACCGGTCCAGGAACGAATCCGGGAAGGAAATAATAGAATTTGTTGATAACATATCTTACGTATGTGTTTTGTACAACCTTTGTCACTACTTGCTGCATAAGGTTTCCTACTATTTCTCTTTTTGCCAGTATCTGAAATAAAGATATCAAGTAATCAAGTTTTATTAATCATTATATTTAGTAGATTATTTAAAATAATAAAATGATGATATTAAAATAAGTGAATAAATAAAAAGATTAGTAATCAAGTGATTAAAAACTATAAATATTTCTTAGTTAATAATAGCCTTTTCTGTTGCACATCGACCAAAATTTTCTGGTGAATACATTTCTTCCGCTTTCGCTGGTGGCATTATGAATGTTCCAGTACATGTTGCACGCATAACATAACTCCATTCATATACACCAGGCCATAATAATGATCGAAATGCTTCAGCACGTTCATCTCGTAAATTTTCATGTTCAGTCCAACCAATAATGCAATGTGGTTGACATCCGAAATAATAATTACTTCTATTTGATCTTGTTACTGATGATTCTGTATCACCTGTCAATGTACCTTTTAATTGTGTATTTAATGGTTCACAGCCAGCAGGTAAATAATCAACTAATGCTATATGATATCGTCGTTGTGTTGTAGTCATTGTTAATATAACTTTAATTTTTTCATTTAATTTAAATTTCCATGTATCATCGGATTGTTTTTGAACATGTGATGGATCATCAACACCTATGTATATTCGTTCAATTTTAAAACCATAGTTAACTGCATTTAAGTGTAGACTTGATGGAGCATAATTCAATGCAATACGATAATATAATCGACCATTACCATCTTTTTGCATCAGTAGATTCTTATTATTATCGTTAATATTTGTATTGGGTGGTGGTGATGATGATGATGACAAAATAGCTTTCATTGGAATATTTACTGTGTGTGTATCTGTTGTTCGACCTTTATATTGATGTTGACCACAATAATCATTATCTAGCCAAATATTAGCAACAAAATTTGGTGTATCTTTTTCTTTTATATGAAAGTATTTATCTAATGCGATTAATACAAAACAATTTTCTTGTGTTGATTTCCATGCGCCTTTGACTTTATGTGCTTGTAAACCTTTACATAATTTAGTACAAAGAGTTGATTGTGGATCAATATATAATAATGCTTCTAATAAAATAGCATCTGTTCGTTGATTTGAATGTAACATAACTGATTGACCATCATCACCATATGATGTAATAAAATTTGCTGTTTCACTTGTTTCACTTACTTTACCTTTTAAATGTTTGTATATTGTTTGAATTAATTGATCTGTATTATTATTTTTCTCAGTAGTTAATGCAACTAATAACCATCCTAATGCTTCTAAACTAAGTTTATTAAATCCACTTCGTTGAAATAATTTAAATGCTTCATTAGCTATTATTTGAAGATGTTTTGCTCGTACATATAATGCATAACTGATCAAACTAAATCGAGTTGTTTCAGACCAATATTTACCGTATGGTAATTGATCAATTTCAGATTCAATATTTTCAAGATATCTCAGTACATTGTCCAACATACTCATGTCAATGTCACATACCTGTTTTTTGACAACAACAACTAAACAATGTGCAGCATGCACACTTATAAATGGATCAGCATAACAGTCACTTCGATTTGTCCAATAACCAAATCCACCATTAGGAAATTGACGACCTTTCAATGTATTCATATCTGATTGTAATTTTGTTCTTATTGCTGATATATCCGGTAAGTCTTTACAATTAAATGCTTGTAAAACATCCCACAATGATTGTACACCTAATAATCTTGAACTTAATTGTTCTGTACATTCATATGGATATGTATAAAGCGAAATAATTGCATCTGTTAATGAAGCTAATGCTGTTGAACTTGTTGATATTGATAACTCACCAAATTGTGGAATAACATCTTCTGGTTTTTTTATTGGTTGTAAAACAACTTCTTCTTCACATATATCACCATATGTTGCAAATGCTTCAGATGTTGCTGGTGTGAAAATAGGTATACTTAATTCGATTGCATCGCCAAATGATATCTTTGATTCATTTCCTACCGTACTGACTATAAACTGAAATCGAGCTATACCTGAATTAATTGTAGATAGTGGAAATATAATTGCAGCTCGTTTATTTGGTTGAAGTTGAATTGCATAGCCAGCTACTTGTTGATTTGCTTCTGATGTTATTAATTTAGCATTTGTTGCTTTTAAGCCAGCATGTAATAATAATGATAGATCGGTTTGATTTTGTAAAACAACTGAAAAATGAGCTGTATCTCCATAGTTAAGAAATCTTGGTGGTGAAGGTCGAATCATAATTGGTAGTTGTACAGTAAATAACATTTCACCTAAACCATATTGTTTATCATTCGTTGCTACGGCCCATACACGATAGCGTGTAAGATTGTCAGGTAATTTAAATTCAAATGAAACACGTCCCGATGAGTTAGTAATTGATGATGGTACCCAACATGCTAATGGATTGAAGTTCGATCGAACAGCGATTTTTTGTTCAGCACCAGCACCAGCGCCAGATACCCTATCAAACGCGTAAGCCGGTGGAGCAAACATACAGCACTTCGCATTCATTGTCATCATTGTGCGTGATGCGAAAGCCTCCTCTTCACCTTGTCTTTGTTGCATATCTTTTTTAAATTTTTCTATATCTTGTATATTGAATAATAGACAACGGTTTCTACCATGGTATTGTGCAATATATGCTGATCGATTTGGATAAAATATATCTAATGGACTAGTTAATTTGTGATCAGTTAATGATAAAATTGCTTCATCAACAACAATTAGACAAACTTCTGCTTTGTCTACAGGTGCTTTATCTGTATATTGTATAACATCAATATCGATTTGAATAATTGATGATGGTGTATATGTTTTATTTGATTCTTTTGTGTCAACTGAAATATTTAGTTTATAGATATCTCTTGAGACTTCTAATGATACTGAACCAACAGCGATTGCTGGACGATTTGGTGAATCAACCATTTCTGTATCTCTTGGAATAGAACCTGTTAGTTCAACATGAACGGTGAATCCCGGTATCCAATCTTTTGATATTTTGAATTCAACAGTTGTTGAATCTTTTCCAGGTTCAATCTGAAATTGTATTGGTTGGGAGATTTGACCTTCACAATCGAATATAACAAGTCCACTAGCTGGACTAAAAGGTACTAAGATTAGTAATTCACATGTGTCATCTGGTTGATAATTTGTTGCATTTGGTATAATTGTCAATGTGTCAGTTGGAATATATTCCACCTTCTGTTTTTCTATTTCTTTTCCACTACCACCAGCAATATAAAGATTATCATAGAAACTCATAGCTAATCGTCCTTGCTCATCTTTGACAGTATATGATATATTGTATCTGCCTCCTAGTATTAAATTCTGTGAAAACTGATTTATCACAAACTGAATCTTTTACCTAATGTTGGTGTAAAATCCATATTGATTGCATCTTTATTTGAACTAACATTGGTTATTTGTTGTTCGTCTTTTATTTCTTCAAATACAGTTAAACCATTCTTATCTTCTTTTCTTTCTTTACCAATGCCAACTATTTTACATTCAATTGAAACATTATCAATCAAACTTCCATCAATATCTGTGACAATGACTTTTGTTTGTACAGGTTGATCTTTCTTGCCATAATTATTTACTAATTGAAATCCAACATAATATGTGCATGGATGAATGAGAAATTGTGTTTGTGTTTCCTGTGTTTGATTATTTAAATCAGTAATGGCCGCTAATGCACGAACCATTGTTGGTCTTGACTCTTTTTCAACACCATGATAAGTAATTTTTATTTCATGTTGACCTTTATTATCTGTTTTACCCTGAAAGTAAATTAATGAAATCATTATTAAAAAATTTACTAAAATTTTCGATCTTAGAGTATTTGAGAAAAGCACTGAAACTATTACATAACTATCGCTGTCTGTATCTAATTTAACGTTCTGCTTTTATGTTTAAATAAAGCTCATATTACTTGAAAACGTTTTTCTGGATATGTTATGTTGTTATCATTAAAATTACCAAACCAACAAACGAACGGTCGAGCTCTACCAAATATATAATCCGATCTTTTAGCTGGCGTAAATGTTGTTGTTTCAGCTTGTACAGTCCATTGAACATTGGCATCATTTAAATAACCACCAGCAAATAATTTTCCTTGACAAGCAGCTATGACATATTCATCATTAGTTGGATGACAATAATGCACTACTGTTGGTCGAACCGTTGATGAAACTTCATACTCTGGTCTACGAAATTCTTGAATTTTGAAATAATGTGCTGTTTCAGTTTGTGAATCGGGTAAACTGAATCTTACCCATCCATTACCTAATAATAATATAAATTTAATATCAATCAATCCTCTCTGTGAATTGAAAGACAAAACAAACAATAAATACACACAATCCTACCTAAGTTAACATTATCAGGTAATGTAAATTTTATATCAAATGCACCATAATTATTCAATTTGACTTTTGATTGTTGAAGTTCTTGACCACGAGGATCATAAACTGTATAATCAATGACGCCTTGAGCATAGGTTGGTAATTTTGCATCGCCTTTTGTTTCTAGTAATCGAACATATCCTTTGATATGTACATCTTCTTTTGGTTTATATAAACCTCGATCATTAAATACATGCCAGACGTAAACATTGAGATTTGATACATTAGCATAAATATCTGTTAACATACATTGATCATCATCTTTTTCTACGACTAATATTCCATTTTCTCTATTTTCTACTTTTCTTTTTTTTATTTCTACTTCTCTTGTTTCATCATTCTCTGTTGTGTTCTTTTCAATAGTACATAACCCTTGTTGATTTGTCTCTTTTTTCTTATTCAATATTGAAACAGTTGCTTGATTGACAGGCACACCAGTCATTAGTTCCGTAACCCATGCAGTTAATTTCATGCTTGTACCTATCATAAAACAATGCATATGTAGACATACTTCAATGAAAAATTATTGTACATTTTTAAATTATCTTTCTCTGAACCATAGAATATCAGAATAGAAACATAGTACTGACACTAGTGATGCATAGTTACCTGAAGAAGCAAATACATCAACTGCTAATCGAGTGCATTGTAGCCAGGCTGATACGATTTGTTTACGTTGCCATTGGTTGTGTTGACATGCATTCCATGCTTTTTCTGTTGGTTCAAGAAAGATAATTAATTGACCTACTCCGAAATTTTTTGTTAAATATGCTTTCAAAGGAATTTTTATCTCTTTCGGTTCATCACGTTCACAATTGGTTTGTACAATTTCATTTAACAACTCTTCTCCAGGTAATTGAACATACGATTCTTTTTCTCCATGTAGGTAAGAATATGGCTGAAAACAAGGTAAATTTGGATGATAATGTTCTGGTTTGACTCGATTAATACGTAGTGTTATTTCTGAATAATTATAAACCATAAATGGATAAAATGGTTCATCCAATACACCAGGATCCATTACGATCATACCTATAACAAACTTTTCTTTTTATTAAAATTGTATTTTTTTTTGTATTAAACCTGTAGCACCCGATATATCTCCCTGTAATGGTGGTGAATCATGTATATAAAATTGAATTGGTTGTTCAGCATAATCATGTTCTAATGTTTGACCATGAATATCTTTCAATTTTTCTGATTGTATGACCAATGTATAAATAGTATTTGGTTTAGAATTATTATGTATTGTTATCTGTTGATCATTGTATTCTGAATGTTCAATACCTGAAATAACATTTCTTTTAATGTTCTTACTTCTATATGAAAACTTTTCGTCTAAACTTACCCAAGCCACTAACTTCTGGTTCGACTTTGAATAATGATTTATTAATTGTTGAATGATTCAACGAATTATTGAATGTTACCGACCAACTATGACCAGGACTAGCACTTGGTTGGTATGTATGCTTTTTATTTGGATGCCAATCAATGATTCTTAGAGGTTCATAGGTTTGAAAATTAGCTAACCATTCTGATGTTGTCACTAATGGACCTTCGGCTGATGGACAGCCTGCAGGCAATCGAACTGTGTATTGTGTTGCTTTTAATAAATCATGTTTAAATGTAAATACAATATATTTCTCATGATTTCCTTCGTTAGCATCTATATATGATTTAAATTCACTTTTTGCTGTTTCATCATCCACTAGTTCTAAGTCGTCGTTTGATATTTCATGTTCATCACTGCCCACTACACGTAGATGCTTCAAAATTTTACCCCTATCAATTTTTTGATCAAATAATAGAAAACATTTCGGTTTCAATGTTGAAACTGTTCCATATGGTGAGAATTGAAGAACATTTGGTGTTGTTGTTGAAAATTCGAACAATAGTTCATCTTCTAACTTTCCTAAAGATAATGAGAAGTGATAGAAAACTTCTTTTGTTGAGTGTCAATGGTACATCAATTTCGAGAAAAAAAACAGAAAATCAAAACCGAAACTTCTCATCCATGAAGGAACTATGGAGATTTAATAGTTTCCGATAGATTTACCTCCGATTGCTGATACACAATGTTCTTTGTCGACTTTTAATGTATATTCTGTTGAGTACGGTAAACGATGTTTTGCTTCAAATTGAACTGTTTTCGTTCCTGTCCATCTCCATCGACCTTCTAGTTTTGGTGCTAATGATATACCAAGATCTTCTATATTCATTTTTTCATCTAATGATGAAACAGCAATCATTGGCTGATTAAATGTTATTGTAACAGTTGCTAATGGATAATTAATTTGTGTTTCATTAGGAGAATATCTTTCGATGATTAATGGACCTGCTTCTTGTTTAACTAATTGTTTCAATCGTTCAATATCAATATCGAGATCTTCTTTACGATCTGCTAAAGGCGGTGGAAATGGCGTTTGTATTATTTTACTTGTTTTTGGTGCTTTAATTGTTGCTTCACGTTTAAAAAATTCTTGTTCATCCGTTGATTCTGCTACCAATTCGGAGCTAGCTCGAGTAAATAATTGCTGTAATTGATCCGGAGTTAAGTTCTGTTGTTGTAGTTGTTGTTGTGAATCATCATTCAATGCTGTCACTCCAGTATCAATTTTATTTTGATCATCCATTTCATTTGCTTCGGTAATCTTAAAATGGAATTGATGGGGCTCAGATTGTTCATTTTTAACCGGCTGATTTCGAATCGGTCGTATTCTTCTCATGATATTACGGCGATAGAATGAAAAGATAGTAGAATTGTACTTTTATCTGCAACGAATATTTTTAAAATTGATAATTGTTACTACAATGCAATATTATGAAGTGTTAATTCCCTTTTATAGAAAGAATATGAAATAAAACGGTCGTTTTATTCAACGAAAAATAAATTTATAAAAACTAACAAACGCACTTGTTGGATCAGTGTATATGGATTTTTGTTGATTATAATTGAATTCTATCTGATTCTTAATCAACCCTTACTCGTATAAAACTATCAATAATTAATTCTAATTATATAAGTAATCGTAATAAAGACCAAGAACATTTGAATTGTGTCGCCATCTTTCCATGTTCATTTAGTGTGATCGAAACTTTTGATCAGTCATAAATAGTAAATTTATAAGAACAAGATAGAATAAGATGAAGTAATATCGGATATGTATAATATGTATCAATGACGTGATATGGGAGAAGAATTTCTTATGTATTGAATTTATTCAAAATTCAATAAAATAATTCAACAAGTAATACAGAAAGTATATACTCAATAGAGAAGTTTGAGAACATTGTGCTTATTTTTTGATTGAGTCGTTATATATATAAAAATAAAAATTGCATGAAAATAAATATATATTACATTACTTGTTTTTTTACGAGATATTGCATGCTGCACAACTTGTTTTTCTCGTTCTACTTTCATGGTTATATAGACTCAGAATACACATTGCTCCGGAGACGTCTAGTATCGAGGCAGTGCAAGCAGTGAGAGGAAGACAAAAAAGTAACAAATCGAAGATTTTTGTGATAAGAGAGAAGTACGAAATAGATGTCACTAAAGAACAGAAAACATCCACACCTGCAAAAAATATTTGGCAACATTTAACAATGCTTCACAACTATAACATAGAGGTTGGCTTTGAATTACTCTAAAATAATAGTTTGCATTTCTATTACAAATCAGCTCAGATCTAATCCATGTGGAGTAATATGGAGGAACCCTATTGGAAACTTCAATCAAATCGACACTTTTCAAAAAATCGAAGCAGCGTAAGATTCAGCCGAACATACAAGCAGACATACTTATTATTCATTATGCAATAAGAGATTTACTCTTTATAGAGATGCATCAGTGCTAGATCACTGGATACTAGTGCCACTGAGTATTTATCTAACTCCTATATAAGGGTAGTATCCTTGTGTCTTCATCTCCTATGTTATAGAAATACCTTTAGGTTCTCATGCCCTATATTCCAGGAGGTACTTCGTAGATCCTCAAGTCTATATCATAAAGGTACCCATATGCCCTCATTGAGTTCCCTTTGGCACTGCCCGTAAATGCTGAAAGGCTATATAGGTTTAGTGTTGTGCGCTTTTGAAGGATTGTCTTGTAGTACTAGTTGTGGCAACTCCTAGATGACGACGTTATGAGCTGTGCTGGGTACCGTTCGTTGTTTAAATAGTATCTTCTGTTTGCCGCTGCCAGTTTTCTAGATGTTTAGGTGATGCCCGCGAAAGTGATGCGAAATTCTCTCTTTCGTCATGATCAAACGGCTTTTGAAGGTTTGTAGGAAATTCGGGGTGAAGTAAACTGTGTGTATTTAACTTTTCATTTCCCAACTGTTAACATGCGAATTTTTTTCAGACTATACGTAAGTGACTCTAATGATGGAGGAGTAATCCTACACAACTAGTATTGCGTTAAGATGATTGCATTTGTGGATGGGATTAATTGTGTTTTATTTGAATAGCATAGCATAAAAAATTACCTTCTCTATTCTTAATCTGTTAATAAAGGACGTATAAACACTATCGAGCTTACCTTGCATTCAAAATGTTCGACCACCTATGGTAGACATTAATAAGCAAGTGAACGTAATAATCTTAATTGTAATGGTATAGAAGCTGAAATGTAGTATTTGTTTAAAATGTTTTATATTGAAAACGAAGATATTCAAGTGTAATTCTATAATAACATAAATGACGATTGATGATTTGATTTTTCGTCATAATTGATTAACTCAAAAGAATTTTTATCAATGCGTACTTTATTAAATGTTCTGTATCTACTAAGTAATTGGTGATTATTGCATAGAATCTATATGTCATGGATTACATAATATTGATCATATTTTTGTTTTATTTAAATAAATATATAGTTAACATAAGAGAATTTGATTAAAATTCAAAGTTTATTTTTCTCAACAATGGCGAACAATGAGTAATTAAAATCATTAATAAAAATAATCAAACCAAATTCTTTTTGATTTTTCTTTCAAAGAACAATAGTTGTTGAATGTCAGTTTGATGTTTTATATAATATTTCTATATTTTTCTTTTTTGCATTTTCTAACATATGATTGACAGAGAATAGAAAATTGAACAAAATGAAAAAAAAAGCTTTTTTTCAAGAGATTTCTCATGATTATCAATCAAAAATATGAACAAATTGATCTAGTAGAGATTGATCAGCAAAAACAAAAATGAAAAGATTTCTTTTGCTTTCTAAACTAGTTAATTTGTTGTGTGAAAACATGTTTTATTAGTTCTGCTTAAAATAAGAAACACCAAAAGTTATTGTTGATCAGAAGTATCTTATTCATCTTTTTCTTAAAATATAAATAGATAGATGTAAATAACAATAAGATAACAATAAATCTATTCCATGTTGAAGTATACCACACATGGAAAATATTCTTTTTTTTTTCTTATTGGAATGATTTCATTTCACTTGATCATCATGATTGAAATATATATTTGACTTTCGCAAACTCTTTTCTTTTATTGATAGAATTTTTAACACAAAAAAAAAAAGAATGATTATTATAATAAAGGAAAATAATGATGAAAATTTTCTGGACGAATAAATGGTTCAGATATTTCAAGACATTTCAATTTGCCACAAGTGATGCGTGCTGCATCATTTGTAAAATTGTTTGTAACTATTGCGAGGGATTCGTATTTAATAGAAAGATTTAATAAACGAGGTAGATGAATGTTTTTATCGAAGAGAAATTCTTCAACATAATCCATATGTGCCTTGTTTAGATCAAGAAGCCAAAGATGAGGAAATCTAATCAATGTAGATGAATGCTGTTTATCTTTTTGCGGTTGACAATTAACTATGTATAATTCTTTGAGAAAAGGAAAATCTTGAGAGATTAATTGGAAGAAATGATGTTCAAAAGGATATAATTCATCATTCATAATCAAACCCTGAACTTTATCAAACATACCACCTTGGAAAGAATTGTTCAGACGATAAAAGGCGTCAAATTGATATGGAAGCGAATAAACATGACATACACCTTTGTTCTTCGTTACGATAGTTTGAACATCTGAACCAATTTGTCCATATACTCTTCCAATAAAACTACGTTGAATTTCTTCATTCGATCTAAGATCAATTTTAATATTATTGTTGGATAAAATTGTATCTATACTGAAAGTTAATTTGTTTAATCGTGGAATATAAATAAGGACTTCATCGTGTAATTGAATACCATCAATATAAGTCGAATCAAATCTTATTATTGATAAGAATAATTTCAATTCTTCAAGATTTATCATTCGACGAAGTAATGGAATAATTAAACTATCATAAGCCATTGTTATATAAACTGAAGTCAATGAAAAAGATTTCAATTTAGGAAGTTTTTTCTATAAAAAAAAAACAAAAATGAAGAATATGCATCTATTTGGTTTCGTATTTTTTCCTCCAAAAACAAATGATCGAAACAAAACTAACCGTATTCTTTATCTTTGATATGACAGATGAAATTTTTAGGACACAAATAATCAATGTTGATAAACAATTGAGTCGTCCATCAAGAAGATAAAGACAATCAGCAAAATTGTCGACATTAATGTTCAATGTAGTTAATGTTGAAGATATGCAATTTGTTGTTGATGGTTTGAAAATATGGATCGCCATTAAACGATAACGACATGATGAACAAAAATTTAAAGAGATCAATCGTTTACATAATGATAAAATCAAGACAAATATCTTTGATAAAGTTTTAGATAATGGTGGCATGCTAGTCTTAACTTCCATATCAATAGAGAGGTGTGTAATTTGTTCAGAAAGAAGATCACTGAGAATTGAATTACCTTAAATTAAAAAAAAACCAATTCTTAATTTATATTTTAAGAATTTCATTATTTTGTTAATTAAT